CTTCTGGTGGAACCGACCTTCGAATCTCTTCACGCAACACTTTCACTCGAAATGGAAGTAAGCTCAACAAAATTATACAACAAAAGGATACTGCGGCCATACAAAAGCCCACACTATCTCTGTCGTCATAGCGTCTATTAATAATTATAACTTTAATAGAACCACCGTTGAGAAGGTTAGCTGAGTAGCTTCGCTTTCGCAAGTCGGCCTAGCGCCCTCGTGTCGATATTTCAGTGCAAATCCGAATGTCTGTTGACAACGCCTGCCATTACAGATGAAATACGTACTGGTGATGGATAGATTGTATAGTCGTAAAATCCGGGATTTACTTTAGCCTTCCCATCTAACGCTCTCTGGATGCATTTCCAGAAGGAGTGCCACAGCTTGAAAAGCGCCCCAACCGAAATGTTCGGTTGCTCCTGACCCAGACAAAGGCCAATCGCGACCATCGCCACTCACCGCAGCCGAGCCTCGTGACTGCAAACTGGCCGCCTCCTTTCGCGAGTTCAACCTGCCGAGAGACGGCCGACTCAGCGTCAACAGCGTCGCAGGCCCCTCCGGGGTTCGAACCAAGCACCGAGTGACACGCCAGCTCGTTCCTTCGGGAAGCGCCGCCCGCAGCGTCGTCACGTCCGTCTCCTCAGCACCGCTTTCGTCTGCTCCAACCTCTTCTGCCCCATCGTCTCTGTCGCCGAGACGCTCTTGCTGCTGCCGACGTCTTCGACGCAGCCGTCTCTGCTGCTCCATAAGACGAGCCTCAGTCTCCCGCTGCACCACTTCTGCTCGACAGGCCGCCTCGTGGCCCAGTTGCCCCGTCGGCGGCAGGAACCGGCCGCACCAGGAGCACAGGAGCCAACCCTCTGGACAGGTCTGGCAGTCGTTGTCATGGGCCTCGACCGAGACCGGCTTAGACGGTTTGCTCAGAGGCGTCCAGCTCGTCAAACGCTGCTGCTTACGACACTCTCGGCGCTTTTTCCTGCCAACCTTCGTCTGAACCACAGATGCATAATCTGTTACTAAAGTCAATACTAATAGTAGCTATAGTTAGTAGTATTGGCAGTAGTGATACAATCTTTTTGGCTTATCAAACCTCACTATTAGCCCGCCATTGGAACATACTGATTGATTTTTATACGCTCTTGTGCAAATATAAAAGAAGGCAAAGATTTGATTAAAACTATCAAAGTAAGTAAGCAATAAATAGGGTTGAATGACGGTAAAGATGAAGAGAAGTTGATTATCGAAGAGCCTTTTAATAGATTGGTTTTATTTGGAAAGGCGGATAAGGGGAATTTGGCTCACCCTTTTGTGACACTGATCCATCCGTGATCAGCTTCCGTCCATCAAATGACAGTTTCTGGTGTCTGGATGATTCCTTTAGACTATCATCTCACTTTTTGATGCACGATGACGACTATTTCGATATTTTTACTCTAAAGGTCCCTTTACTGGCAACCTCGGATCGTAAATGAATTTTATTGTCAATCCAGTTTAGCATAAAACAATCAAGGTCTGACAGTTGAATTTCACCTCAAGGATACGACTAATATCGAAGCCTAATCATTATTAATGTGTCGATGTGGTATCTGAATTTTGACACTTTAGTGTACATTATACATAGAGATTGTCTGACCCTGTTTTAGCAACATGGTCATATTGGTAGGAAGACTTAGAGGAACGCACCCAGTCCGGAGTCCATTGTATGCATGATCATTTCCAAAGTCGGACATTCATAGGAATGTACCACGTCTAT